CCTGCAATGCTAGAAGGATGCACCTGTTTCCCACAAACGTCAGTCTACTATTGCAAGTACATCTTCTGGGTGGCTCCAGTAAGGATGCTGATATTCCCTTGATGTAGTGCTAGCATTTCCAACACAACACCCATCATGAGAAATGTGAGATACAAGTGAATGCAGGATGAACTCCATCTTGTATTCTTATGAAATCACCACAAGAACATACAACTAAATCAAAGCTAAAGTTCTGAAAAAGTGTGGAATTGGACAACTGTATAAAACTTGGGCTAAACCTCCCAAAGGGACACACCCTGTATAGGAAAAATGGCCAGTAGTAGCAGAGTACATGATGCATCCTAATAGGGACAACGATCAAATATGGCTCAAAGGCAGCTCTTGAAGGAAGGCTGTACAAGATGATCCCCGCCAGGAGGACTAAGACAGAGCCTTCTGCTATTTGATGATGCAAATAACCTAATTAGGGAGACATCATCTTCAGGTGCAAGTGAACTTCTATCCTGAATGTGGAGGCAGCAGTGAATAACCTGACTACAAAGTGTTACGACACATAACCCAGAAGATCACAGTCTGAACATTCTATTGCTTTGAACATCTCAAATATCACACATTTGGCTTTTGTTCACTATACAGCTAATAAATGGAGTGACTTTCCATTCAGTCTATCCTGAAGGAATTCTAATAAAAAGAAAAAAGTGGAAGGAACACTCCTACTCAGAATATGAATGGTGCTTTTAACGAGTTTATTTACAAATTAATTAAAAGGGCATGCTTTCTATACAAGTAGGAATATAAGCTAATACTCAGTTCGTAAAAATTATCCACTGTATGATTCTTGTTAACCTTTATCAGATGAGCATTATACTGCCCTTGAAGAAGCATGCATAGAGGGTATGTTTTCAATAAAAAACATCTTTACCCTGGAGGATGAAAACACCCTATTAATGAATGATACAGGTTAATGCAATTCTGTCAAAATGCCACCTTGTTATAGTGATTCAATTAACAAAACATTGTCTTCCTTGTCACTCAAAATAATTCTACGTTTATATTTCTGCATATAAAAATGCTACCATCTGTTTCTTCCGCTGAATGTCTTTTTTCTGTGTCCATTGTATTAGTTTCATCAGCAGAAAATGTGGTCTTGCTCCTTTTGATGGAATGTGAAATGTCACCATCGGGCTCCGTTGACTTCATTTTCGGAATCGGAATTCAGTGCGACACTGGTGACAATATACTTCGTAGTCCCATATGAACTGCCATCTGTTACACTTTTTGTGTCAGGAATGTAGTCATTCTGAACAAATGAGCTAAGGCTTATTTCCTCTATTTCAGAATTGGAGTTAAGTATGAAGTGTGTGCACTTCTTCTTTGTAGTTCTGTTTAAATCACCATCCATACCACTTCCTGCAGCAGTGGGACAATCAACTTGCCAAATCATGGAGTTACTGCTTTTTTATATTTTTTTTTTTTTTTAACAATCCAACATAAAAATTTTCCCTCTATTTCCTGGACTTTCACCTGAGATGACACTCTCTGAAGTTTCACCTGTTTGAGCCAGTGAATTACGATTTATTTCTTCTGTTTCAGAATCTGAATCTGGCTGCAGGTGCTTCCTGACTTTCCATGCGGGATTTTTATTCTCATTCCTTTTTTCCTTCGGTATCTTTATTTCAGCTGCTTGTTTGCTTGAAAATTCTGTTTCTTCAGAAATGTTTATGTTCCCATCTGGGTCATTACCTTGTCTACACATCCTCTTTATGACAAATATACTGGGCCATGCCATAGCTCAAGTGGTTAGTTGCTGGCTTCCCGCCGTGGCAGCCCGGGTTCAATCCCGGGTCTGGTCGAGTGAGATTTGTGGTGGGCAAAGTGACACTGGGGCAGGTTTTCTCCAAGTACTTCGGTTTCCCCTGCCAATTTTCATTCCACCAATTGCTCCACAATCACCCTCACCTATCGTCTTGGGCTGGTACAATACGCCAGAAGTGGCCGCAGTACAAGAGACTTACTCCCACCCAACTAGCAATAAAAAAAATTATGACAAATATAATTTAATTCTTGTAATATTGCTAAACATGGTGGTTGTATAAGTAGCACTCCTGCTTAAGGTTGGGGATGAAGCTTCTGCCCTCCCCTCCCATGCACACACACACACACCCCTAATATGACCGACAAACAGAAAGTTGGGTATATATCTTCATGACGTGCTGCATTTGCCTTCCAGTATGACAAACATTCCAAATTTTAGAAGTCAAGAAAACTTGTGTGGAGAATTCAACTTCTACCACTGTCTTCCCTTGAATATTCTTCCTAACACCTAACATGCAAATTACTGTATTACTTGAGTCTGTTTATAATGGCAGCCACAATGGTATTCCGCAGTATACAATTTTGCGGGTCATTTTACACTGTCAATATAAGTATGGAAGGATGATAAATAATTGACAAATTGGAAAGAATATGGAAGGAAGCTGTTGCGGTTTAAACGAGGTACTACCTCAGCATTTTACATGGAGGGACTGAGGAAAACTACAAAACACTTCACTCAGAATAGCTGATGTCCTGGCCTAGATCTGAACTACACACCTTCCGAATACAAGTCTAGTGTTACCGCTAGACCAATCTGCTCCTTGTTGGTGTCTGTTCTATATACAAATACAGACAAATATCCTTGAATTAAGTTTCACTGTACTTCACAATGCGATTTGGTAGTCATAATACTATTATCCCGGTGGCAAATTTTCTCATATAGGATGTTCCTCAGATTACTGTATAAATCTGATCTTTAGGAAGAAATTGAATGGAGATTTCATATACAGGATCTTTAATTCCTTTTTTATCAAACATTTCAGAGGTGGACACTGGCGATACCCTCTTTTGGCCAATCGTAAGCATGTGCATGTGTCCGCACTGCTAGTCTTAACAAAACCCACCAAAAGAAAAGGTTCCCTATGAGTATCTTTTTATTTACACAAGACAATGCTCACAAGGGCAAGAAAACATACTTCTATGAACTAACTCTTTCCATAACAAATTTTTGCTTGGAAACACACCTGTTCATCTGAAGGTGGGACAATGTTCAGGGCAGTCAGAAGTTTAAGGAACTGTGGATTTTCCATAGCAGTCATAGCCTCCTCAGTAATGGGAACCAAAGGAATGATCTCTCCACCATCTGCTTCTCTGTCATCAGCCACCTCTTGCAATGATGATGATACCCAATGAAGAGCATCTGTCATCCCTGCAAGTCAAATGCTCTATTTGCAATATTGTACTCCATTTAGTGTCAATTAGTCATTTTATTAACTTCAAAAGTTTTAAAGTTAATAAATTTTATAGGGCATACTGTTGCAGGCAAGGCTTTAACTAATCAGCACTAGTGAAAAGCGCAACAGAATGCTACAATATAATACTGTATTGTATCTTACGAGTATCATCTCTGCTACAGTGATCAGCACTTTTCAATGAATTGTTATTAACCTGTCACTGTTAGGGCCAGAACATTTGATTTAGTTCATCATGGTTTGTCACGCTAGCTATAAAAGGTTATCAACTCCGTCCAGTGTGACTGATGTTTTTTCTTCCTCTTTAATCTTTCATCCTTGGCATGTTTCGGTCTGTGAGACCATCTTCAGAAGGATATTCATGGAATTGTAATGATATTGTATGTATGTACTGATGTTGACCAATCATTGTAATGGTAGTTTCTACTTGTATTGATATGTCCTTCTGAAGATGGTCTCAGACTGAAACATGCCAAGGATGAAAGATAAAAAATAAAATAAAATAAAAAAAACATTTACCAAGAACACTGAATAGAGTTTTATAAAGACCAGAACGGTTCTGAAAAATAATAAAACAAACAAACTCCCGTGGCCTGTAGTCTGCAAGCGAACTATACTGACCGAATGACCACTGCTTGTCAGCGAAGTTAGTGACAACTTTAGCAGGCAGATGGTGTCACGTGGTCAGCACACCGAACCCCCACAGCAATTGATTTCGGTTTTCTAGACCACAGCCACTGCTCTGGAGTACTGGAATATTAATTTCTTTCCTTTCAAAGAGTTCCACAAGAAAAGAAGGCCTGTAAAACGAACATGGTTGACATTCAAATTGCATCATAGTGGGGGTGAACGAACAGTGCATAGATTTTCATATTGTTGTAATATCTTGTGCCTGAATTAATTTAAACAAAAATTTTATGAAAGCTGCGATTTGAAGTTTCAGGTGCACTCTATGAATGAAAATATTTTTGCTGCCAAAATTCCTGTTTTTCTAAAGTGTAAAAAATTGTCCGCCTCTCTAGTCTAGAGGTCAGAGTTCCTATGGTCCCGGGTTCGATTCCCGGCACTACCAGATCTACCAGATTATCTAAGAACTTGACACTGACTTTCTAGCGAAGATTGAACGGATTAAAAATACACAATCACCAACATCCTCTGCTTTGGTTTAGAACCTCAAGTGTTGCCAACATTCACGAAATGCAACATAACGAAAGAAACTATAACAATGTCATTTTCCAAGGATTACAGAAATTTTATGATAATATTTAACCCATGAAATATAATTCGCAATGGATTAAAATGAAAAAAAAAAAACGGAGAATTATCCACGCAGGGTAAACAATAAACGGAGGAACAAAATTTGGGTGTAAACACAGAGGAATCCGGGGTATCTGGGAACCCTAATCTGTG